GTCCCTATTTCTTCGCTTTGCAGCCTCAAAGACGCAAGGACGTCCTCCATGCGCGAGCAGAGCCTTCGCTATGGGCTGTGCGACACGAGTGATCGGTGCTCAATGAATTGCAGCGACTTGGATTGCGAGCGTGGATGGAGTTCACAACAATCGATGAGTGCTACCGATCCCAAACGATCGACGAGATCAGCCTACAGCCCGGGTGGGGTACATGCTGCTTGAGATCGTTTGGAGGAGAGGCAGACGAGAAAGGGGACACGTGCGATAAAGGTCATCCAGCCAAGCCTCGGTTGTTTGCAGAAGCAGCGCTCATCCAGAGATCGACGACCTCGATTCCTGTTCTAGGTGCCAAAAGTCCATGTATGCATCCATGACACGTTTCGCACCTCTTGCAATCATCCTGCTTTTGCGCTGCTCTCGCATCATCCTGCTGAGCAGCGCTGGAAGAAGGCGCACCGCCGAGAGCGGCATCGGGCGAGCGCTCGCTCGGCGTGCGCACAGACTTGCTAGAGCTGGATGTTGATGTGCTAGAGTCTGGCGAGAGCGAGGAGGAATGCGAGTGCGTATTGACGCTCGAGCCTTCTGGCCGAGCTTCGGAATGAGATGCTTTGGCAGATTTCGTGTGAGATTTCAAGCATCCCACGCACTGACATCGCGGTCCGCACGAACAAGCAGTCGTCCCTCCCGCAGCTAGACAATGATCTGCTGCTACTGGTTCTGCCACTGCTGACCACGTGGATATTGCTGGCTCAGCTGGTGATGCAGTCCGATAGCTCGTAGCAGCGTTCTCTCCAGGTGCCAAGGAAGGTGCTACCGCGGTCTTTGCGTCATAGGATCGCGCTCGACCAAAATGGTGTTGGTGGGGTAGGTGTTCGACTGACGGTGAAGGTGTGGTTATTTTGGTGTTCCCTTCGCTCGCAGGCGACCATTGCGTGGCGAGATCACCCTTCCGCGTACTTGCGAGTCCATGCTGTCCACATCCACTGGTTGAACAAGCACAATTGCCGTCGCAGTCACCATCAACCACCTCTTCGTTCGACACGGGCCTTTTGCCGCTCTTCGAGGCACAGCAGGATGCGGGCGGCGCATCGACGTTGCCAAATGTGGCCGAGAAGAGTGTCCGCTGCTGTCGCCGAGGACTACATGGAGAATCCGCACTCGTCGTTGTAGTTCCTCTGGATCGAGCGCAGCATTTGCAGATGCCGCCGGTAAGACAGGCGCAAGGATTGAGCAGCGAAGCGATGGTGCGTGGCGCTGCAGGTGCGGAGACTGGAAGAGTGGCTGTGCGCGATGCCGATGCTTGACCGGCGGTGGAGGTTGACGCGGAGCAGCAAGACGCAGACGCCTGCACTTCCTTTGATGATGTGCTGCCAGGTCGCTCACTGAAGCTCGCCTGCTCCTCTAGCCTACCTCTTTTCCTTCTCCGCTTGCCACTGACCACTCCTTCATCCACACTTTCCGCAAGGTGTGACACCCTCGCTGCGTCTGATTGCTCCTTAGCCCCTCCCTTTTCCGCACATCCGCATTTCTGATGCCTTCCACCTTCCAATCTCCTCCGCCTGCAAATCTCGCACTGACTACGAGGTCTACCTCGAGGTTTCAACTGCCTCAATTCGTTCGAAGTCGTATGCTGACACGTCTTTGTCCTGTGTCCCTTGATGCACCGCAAGCACGCATGGGGGATCGAGTTGACGAGGAACATCTGCAAAAGTGAGGAGCGATGCGGATGAAGGCTGCAGACTGACTAGAAGAAGGAAGCTAAGAGGGCGTTTGCGGGCGATGTCCCTCCGACGGGCGCAATCGATCCATCCCTGGACTCCGCTTTCGTTCCTCGCGA